AAAAACAAAAGATTTTGCTCTTTTTTGTTTTGTTTTGTTTTAATCACGCTCGCTTCTTTCTTGCTTTGTCAACTGAAAGAATCAGCCCCTTTTTCAATGAGTTAATTTAACTTTTTATCTCTTGGACTTCTATTTTTTTTTTTTTACCACAATGGCTACAGCCTTGGGTCATTTTCAACTACTGTACTTCTTTGATGAGTTCATTGATATTTATGCTTGATATTTAGACTTTTCTTATTTGTTGATACTATTATTATTTAAATGTGCCTATATTAAAAAAAAAAAATATCAGCAATTGCCTTTTTTTGGTAGCAGCCAAAGTCAAATTTATCCCATGGAAAAAGGCTGGATAACGATGGGTAAAGTGACCTCCTAATTACCTAGAAATGTTGTTTACAATTATCTCACTCTCAGCTCGCTGGGCTCAGATTCCCAAAGGCATTGAGGTGCCCAATTCCTGCTGGAAGGCACCAAAATCCCTGGGAATTTCAGTGGAGTCATCTCTCCCTACTGCTCCCACGCTTTTCCTTCGTTGCCAGCGGTGACCCTCAGGATCAGGGATCAGGATGTAGGTATTCCATGAGGCAGATTCAATATTCCCTAATTAATGGGGAATTCCCTAATTAACGGCCCCGCTCCGCTCCCGGGCTTGCCTGGGCTTCCCAACCGGTGCCAGTGGTGGCCTCCTGGTCCTTCAGAAGCGAAAGCCAACCCGCAAATCTGAGGGTGGTGAGGCACTGGAACAGCTTTCCCAGAGAATTTGTGGCCGCCCCATCTTTGGGAGTGTCCAAGGCCAAGTTGGGTGGAGCTCTGAGCAACCCCTGTCCGTGGCACGGGGTTGGATTGGATGGTCTTTAAGGTCCCTTCCAACCCAACCCACTCCATGGTTCATTTCAGGCAGGGCACAAGCACATCAGATGTCACTGTAAAGTTTATTTGTTGTGTGAGGGCACCGTTTGATCGGGAGGGTTTGATCCGAGGGCGGTCCTTGCGCTGCTCCTCGAGCCCAAACTGCCGATGCTGCGCGTCCCAAACGAGCTGATTGTTATTTAATGTACCTCTTGAAACGAGTGAAACCCAATTGCAGGTCAACTCAGAGAGTTATTTGAAAGCAGGGCTTCAGATCAGTGTTTGATGTTGTAAAAAAAAAAAAAAAAAAAAAAAAAAAAAAAAGAAAAAGTTAAAAGGATTGGAATTAAAAAGATCCTTGGCTGCAGGCAGCAAAACAGCTGGATTTATTTAAAACCATTTGTTTTTCGAGATTTCTTTTTTTTTTCTTTTCTTTTTTTTTTTATGTGTATATGATTTTGCTTCTTTGTTTAAATCAGATGCAGTAGCACTTTGGTGTTGAAAAGTTCCGAATCGAAGAGTTTACCTTGTCGATAAGGTCATTTTTTTTTTATTTTGTGCAGAAAACAGGGAGTGTTTCAAGAGAGATCCCCAGCAAATGTCCAAATTGTCTCTGATAAAACACACACGTGGCCTTGTGCTTCTCATTTAGTGGGACATTCTTTATAATTTCCCAGAGATTGCTCCAAACCAAAAAAAAAGGCAGAAAACCTCAAAATTATGTCAGAATACTTAAAAATATATTTTGGAAGTCTGAAAACCTGGCTGAATGCAGAAATACAGAGACTTTACCTCTTGCGGCATTTCCACAGCTGTACTCTTCCTTCACCTCTTCAGCAGCCTAAAAAAAAGTCCTTCATCACTAAAGAGCAGCTCTTGGTGCAGAATCCATCTGACATGTTCTCTGGGGCTGGGCAATTTTAATCTTCATTTGTTACAGCTCCCACATGTGCCTTGTGACTGGACCACCCAAGTGCTGGGAGGGGAACCCAGGAGGGAGGGAGAGGAGCTCGGAGGAGGGAAGGGCTGCCATGGCCAGGAGACTTGGAGAGGGATTTTCCACAAGGGCACAGAGTGACAGGACAAGGGGAATGGCCTTTAGCTGAAGGAGAGCAGGGTTAGGTGGGATATTAGGAAGGAATTCTTGGCTGGGAGGGTGGGGAGGCCCTGGCACAGGTTGCCCAGAGAAGCTGTGGCTGTCCCTGGATCCCTGGAAGTGTCCAAGGCCAGGTTGGACGGGGCTTGGAGCAACCTGGGCTGGTGGAAGGTGTCCCTGCCCATGGCAGGGGGGGGGGAATTGGATGATCTTTAAGATCCCTCCCAACCCAAACCATTCCATGATTCTTTGAGTTCAGTCCAGTGGCAGAAGGGAGGTTGTTGAGATCACCAAAGGGAGGTGGTTGTGGTTACCCAGGTGAGGTTGTGGTGGTCACCAAAGGGAGGTGTTGTGGTCACCCAAGTGAGGTTGTTGTGGTCACCAAAGGGAGATTTTTGTGGTCACCAAAGGGAGGTGTTGTGGTCACCCAGGTGAGGTTGTTGTGGTCACCCAAGTGAGGTTTTTGTGGTCACCTGAGTGAGGTTGTTGTGGTCACTAAAAGGAGGTTGTTGTAGTCACCAAAGGGAGGTTGTTGTGGTCACCAAAGGGAGGTTGTTGTGGTCACCCAAGGGAGATTGATGTGGTCACCCAAGGGAGGGTAATGGTCACCACACTCCCAGGCCTGTGGGTCACCACAACCTCCTTCCTGCTAAAGCCCTTTGCCCCTTCTGGCCACCAGTATTTCAAACCACCCACTTTTGAAACTAAAAGATCAGGGATTCCCAAGAATCCAAGAGCTGGGCATCCCTCAACCTGGAGATCAGAACACTTTTTACGTCTCCCCATCCACTTTCTCCACACTTCTCCTTAAACTGAAGCTCAGTTTTGCTCTCCCTGGTGTGAAGGGGGTGAGGAGCTGCAGAACTGGTCACCACACTTCCCCAGTGTCTTACTGACACTTTACTGGGATTTCCCACTCTCTCCCTCGTGGGGATTTCAAGCAACTAAATTTTGGATCCAACCTCTTTGTGCACGTCAAGCACAGCACGAAGCATCACCCCCTTGAGGGAGGAAGCACCAAGTTCATTATCCCTGGCAATTAATCTGGGCAATCACTGTGGGTCTCAGTGTTTGTGTAAACCACAGTTTACCCAAATCTGTATTTTTGTAGCCACCCCACAACCCACCAAGGACAAGCAAAGATCTTCAATGCCCTCACGTTGTTCCTGTTGTGTCTTAAGAGCACTTAGCAGGCAGAAAAAGGACATTTGGAGAGAACATTTCCCCCATCCACATCTCCAAATCGGAGTATATAAGTAGAGATTTATATGTGTATATATAAAATATATGTATTTATATAGTTTTATCACCCCGGGAGCTGGGTGGGATTAAAAAAACAGAGCTGTTGTGCTCCTGGTGTTGCAGTCAGGGAGTGCTTTAGGTGCCTTCCCCTCCCAAAATGGAGCTCAGGGCAGTGCTGGCTGTCAGCTTGGGTGTTCCTTTCACAAGACACAACTCCCTGCCCGGATGCAGCCACGTCAAACAGCTTCCAACCAAGCACAGGGCCAAAGATGTGCCTCTCCAACAACATCTATGCTCATTTAAGAGCCTCCTGCTCACTTCCAGGAGCTTTAGTCCGAGGATGGGTTGGATTTGTAGGATTAGGCCAAATTCTCTGCTGGGAAGGAGCAAAACCCTTCCCTCCAACCCCCCCCAAAGTGTTCCTAGTTACCTGCACTCTTGAAACCTTCATTTTTCTGCTTTCTGGGTGACCTTTTCCATTGTTTGGTGTGTTTTGAAGATTCAGGGAGAAGTGGATCCTTGTTTTCCTGCCTCGTATTTTTGTTTTTGTTCACCTTCGCTCGGTCAGTACCAACCACTCGGCATTTTTCTCCTCGTCCTAAAAAAGGGTTGCATCGACAGAGTTACTTGTATTTATGTCTGTAAATAGATTTCAAAAGCTTCATAGCAAAATATTTAGTGCTTGTAATTGCTCTGCCTTTTTTTTTTGTTGTTTTGTTTCTTTTTTTTTTTCCCATTTTTCCGTGTTTTTAATGAACTTACCTTTGTGTTCGCTTAAATACTGTAGTGAGACTTATTTCTTTCCCCATGAGTTATTTTTTTAGGCTTCAAGATGAACTACATTTAATTCACTTTTGTAAACAGCTATAGCATGGTCTCTTATCCGACATCCTCCACTTTTTGTTTTGGTGGGAGGAGAGAAAGGAACGTGCAGAAAATCTGCGGGTTATTTGTGGGATTTCGGTCCCGTCTCTCCCTTCAAACAAAAAGCTGAACTTCCAGGGTGAGGTGGTGAGGACACAGCAGGGGACACCCCCTGTCAGAACGGCCCCAAAG